TATACCAGCTATAAAATGCCTTTGTTTTTTACTGGGATACCTGTGATATCACAGTCATAAAATGTCTTTGTTTTTCCTGTCTTCTCCACGACAAAATGGGAGAGTTGCGCAATAGTAACCAGGGGTCTTCAAGAACTTACCCAAGAGACCTTTGCGGGTATCTACTATAGGTTTCCCATCTATACTCCAATCAATTATCATGAACCAGATGTCAATCAAGATCACTATGTTGTCTATATAGCTATAACATGTAGCTATACAATGCCCGTCCAAATGTGCACGTTTATGCTCGAACAACAATCTAATTACGTACGCCAAAATCCGGACCGGAACTGAATTGCAGTTCCAAATTGAGTTATCTATCAGGGGCCGGTTCCTAGAAATCCGGATTACTTTATCCTAGGATAAGTGCTATCCTAGGGATAAATTCCCTATCCGAGGGATAAGTATCCAAGGGATAAAATTCGGTTCTTGAAAGCAGTATTTATCCCAGGGATAGTTATCCTACGGATAACTTTGCTATTCCTTGGATTAACCGGGGGAAAAACAGTTTTTGATTTCGGGAAAATTAAACGCGGCCGCGCTTTGTTTACATTATTGTTTACAATTGATGGCTACCTGTGGCTGATATATATGAAAATGAAAGGAATATAAAAATAAAAGAAAAGCCATTTTTGTGTCATTGTTTGATATAGTAACTCAAGTTAGACCGAAAGACCGAAAAAACACGATAGTATATTTAACGTGCAAAATCAATCTGTCCCCGTTAAAAGAAAACGAAAGCCAAACTTCACTACGGCCGAATTAAATTTATGAGTGGAAAACGTTGAAAACAACAAAGAAATATTGCAAAGTAAACTTACAAATGTAATCACCAACAAAAAGAAATCGGAGACATGGGAGTTGATTGTAAGCAAGGTAAGTTCAGTTGGGGTAGCGGAGCGGACAGTGACCGACATCAGAYAAATGAAAGTCAATATTTAGCGGTGCAAAGAAGCAAACAGCGAGAGCAAAAAAGCAAGACGAGCGACCGGTGGTGGTCCACCAACTGCGGACCCATCTCCACTGAATGCCAAAATTATGGAAGTGTACCATGACACACCAGGGTTTTCTGGTCTTGCAGAAAGTTTCGAGTCAGGTAATTATAATCATAAATTCTCCATAATTATGTGATGCGATACAAGTGACGTTGCAGTGAATGCAGCGCCTGGCGAAATTAGGTAGCGGCCATTGCAAAGTACGATTTTTTCAAAATCACCCTATCCCCTATATGTACACACGGAGCGAATTTTCAAGAGTAAAGATAAGTATTCAAACCATTCCTCTGTATTAAAGAAGATTTTATTAAATGTGACCCGATAATGTCTGTTTGAGAGACGACCGTGTGCTATTGGTGAAGGTTTCTATATGCATGTTGATATAAACCAATGAATTACTTATACTGAATTTGAATTTATACTTGAAACTATTTAAAACTGAAACTTATAAACACTTTATAAACAAATTGCGAACAATATGATATATATTAATAATTACAAATAATTATTATTTAATATGGAAGATGGAAGATTGGACCATTCTAAATAGACCCGTTTCGAATTCCAAATTACCGCTGTGTTAGCCTCGAGTTTATGCAGAATATTCACGTGTTCCAGTCAAGGTCCGTCGAGTTTCAAAGTGTTTGTATTGTTGAAGTTGTGCATTCTTTACTTTACTGTTGGTATTTGTGAATATTTAAACACTGATACGAGGTTAACCCTGTGCAAATGAGTCTGTAATCAAGGAACACAGCGGTAATTTGGAATTCGAAACTAGACTATTTGCTCTATCCTTGAATGAAGTTATTTTAACAAAAACGTTTTGCAGAAAAAAAACTTGAATAGTTTATCTCCCTCTAATTTGCATTCATGTTAATCTTTCGCCTAGGGCTACCATCAGATGCCACAGTACTTCCATCTATTGAAATTGCTAATATCCCATCAGAGGAAGAATGTTCTGGTGTGGAATCGGTGAGTCTTGAAATATTAAATCACAAAAAAAAAAAAAAAAAAAAAAAAAAAAAAAAAAAAAAAAAAAAAAAAAAAAGAAGATAACCCAGGATGACGTACTTCCAGCCCAATATGAAAACCTATTAATTCAAAAAGAGATCTTTATCCTAAAGAAAATAAATTTAGAATTGGAGCTTCAACACTTAGGATATGACAACCAGGAAGTCACTTTAGATTGAGACACATACGTTATTTATGACAGAGTTGTAAATTATAATCATTGTGTATAACATACAAATGTCATCTCAAGCCTGCATGTAGATACAACTTTTATCTTCAAATGTTGAAATATGTAGTTCCAGAAATTATCCATACCCACCCCAAACAGAAATTTGGAATTTCCGAAGAGTGGGGGAGGTCAAAGAAAACACAAAAATTACAGAGTTTGTATTGAAGAAAATTGGAATTTCTGGGGGTAGGGGGGTGTCTTAAAAAAATTCCTTCGTGAGGGGGGATATGGATAATTTTTGGAACTTCACATCAGTATTTCACAATAGTTTTTATATTGAGCACAGTGAAATCTAAAGTGACTTGCTAATGGTTATATCTCCAGGGCTCGAAATGGGATAACATTTTTGCCTGCCACAGTTTTTTGTTTTTGATGTGTGGAAAAAATTTTTACCTTCCATTCTATTTATTTCTTGGCTTTTCATGATCATTTAGGACTTCCAAATATTCAATGACCTGTTATTTGGCCATTGGCAGGCAGCTAATTCGAGCCCTGTATATAAGAACCTCTTTTTGAAAGATTAGTTTTTCCCTCAATTTTATTTATTTACTTTGAATTTTTTTCTAACCTTAAATTATATTATACTTATATTCTTATAATTATTCAATTTTTCAAGTATTGATTTGGAAATTCAAGTCTTGATTGGATTAATGAAACATTGTATTGTATTTTTTTTAAAAGTTTGATAACAGTGCTTAAAAATATTGTTGTTGCCGTCGTTTTGGTAAAGTCTTATAATTCATGGTGAGTTCTGTCAGAGTTCTTACCCACGCAAAGATTGGCTGTCGTCATTTTTTCAAATAAAGACATTCAATTGTCGTGTTATGGATGTACGCAAATGGTTGCTTTTAGCACTCCAAAAAGCTACTTATCCATTCCTTAAATAAATTGTATCAAGTATTTCCAAGAGTGTAGGTTGCATAAATAATATTTCTCAAATCACAAATTAAAGAATGTACTATCATAAATTTCTATTTAAGCATGTCATTTTGTGTAATTAATTTGTTTCATTTACAATGCAAGTTTTATTCAAGCAATGCACAGAATTGAATCATCTTTATTTTAAAGTTGTTGCACTTTTATAATGAAAAGGTGCTTTATAAGTAATATACTAAAGTGCAATTTCATTCAAATTCTATTGTTTTCTATTGTTTAATTAGCAATATTTACTACTAAATAGTGCAAAGTGTTGCACACTTTTAGTGTTTGTACTCTAACACTATTTCATACTATTTAGTAGTTAATGTTTCACGGATTAATCGTTTCCACTCTATATAGAAAGACGACTATTGGTAGCAAATGATATGACATATTTGACATATGATATTTACATGTCTGTAAATATTGAAGTTCATTATCTCAATTCCAAGCGGGATGAGGGGGGGGGGGGGGGAAAAAAATTGTAGTAGTATAGGAAATCGCACGATCCCGAGTACAATTTGGGAATTAATAGACACGAGTAATGTTTTGAAAGTTCTTGTAATTCAAGAACTGTCAAAACATTACGAGTGTCTATTAATTCCAAATTGTACGAGAAGATCGTGCGATTTTTTGTTTATAGTTCACTCAACAAAATTTCAGTAAAAAATGCGAAGCGACGCCGTTTCCAGCTATACCAAACATTCAACCAGGTTTGTGTACTTTTTTTCTTTATGTTTATCGCTTTTTCTCTTAACGTTTCTATAGCATTTTCATCAAGAACTGCGAAACGACTGTCGGCCATTTTTACGCTCATACTTGCCGCTGTTGACATTGTTTTG